TCCTCCTCTACTCCCCCTCCCCCTCCTCCTCCCCTCCTCCTTCTCCTCCTCCTCCTCCTCCTCCTCTACCTCCCCCTCCCACTCCTCCTCCTCCTCCCCTCCTCCTCCTCCTCCTCCTCCTCCTCCTCCTCTACCTCCCCCTCCCCCTCCTCCTTCTCCTCCTCCTCCTCCTCCCCCTCCCCCTCCTCCTCCCCCTCCCCCTCCCCCTCCTCCTCCTCCTCCTCCTTGCCAGTCCGTTCAGCCCGGCCTCGAGTTCCTTCAACTAATAGTGAATCCTAACTGCTAAACTCCTTCAAAATCTTCAAACTTCTTCGCGCTCTCAAAGTCTCCTTAAAACATCCAATATGTCGAGATTGCCCTCTAATCTGGCAACACTTTCGAGGACGGAGAGTTAGTACTGTGAAGAGGGGTGGGGGTGAGGGGTGGGTGGAAGGGGGGGGTATTTTGAGTGGGGGGTACTACGGTAATGATTATTTCTTTTTTTATCTTATATTTTATTTTATTTTTTGTTTGTTTGTTTTTTCTTTCTTTCTCTCTTTCTCTCTTTCTCTTTTCCTTATTTTCGTTTCTTCGCTCATTTCAACATCGCTGGTTTTCAACCGCGTTTCTGTCATTTAAACTTTATTAAAGATCGCGGCAAAAATCTCTTAAAAAAATAAATCAATAAATCGTATATAAATCACATACAACAACATACAGTACTGAAAAAAAAAAAAACAGAAAATATCGCCTTCCTCTCCATACACCCCTTTCTTGCCTAGTCCTAGAAGAAGAAGAAGAAGATGAAGAAGAAGGTGAAGATGAAGAGGAAGAAGAAGAGGAAGAGGAAGAGGAGGAGGAAGAGGAAGATGAAAAGGAAGATGATGAAGATGATGAAGAAGAAATAAAAGAGAGGTAAAATCAACTCTTCAAACCACACCAGTCGCCTCCAATCTCCTCCAACCCTACCCCCCCCCATCTCCCCATCCCCCGACATCCTAACCCAAAGCCACCCCACCCCAAGGCTGTCGGTCACGGCAATGTCCCTCCTCCTCCTCCTCCTCTTCCTCCTCTTCCTCCTTCTCCTCCTCCTCCTCTTCTTCCTCTTCCACCTCCTCCTCCTCCTCTTCCTCTTCCTCCTCCTCCTATCCCTCCTCCTTTTCCTCCTCCTCCTCCCCATTTGCATCCGGCCGGAGTGCGCGTTCGTTCTCATCGGCTGTCATGCTCATTTCACGCTTCCGATGGACCTGTTAGAAGCTCCGGCGATCCATCACTGGTCTATTATATCAACCCTCTTCGGTCACCCACAATGGGGAGGGGAGGGAAAGGGGGGGGGGAGGGAGGAGGGAGGAGGGTAGGGAGGGGTAGGGAGGGGTAGGGAGGGCGTAGGGAGGGGTAGGGAGGGGTAGGGAGGGGTAGGGGTAGGGGAGGGATGGATGGAGAGAGTAGGGAGAAGAGCAGGAGAGAGAGAGAGAAGATAGAGAGAGAAGAGAGAGAGAGAGAGAGAGAGAGAGAGAGAGAGAGAGAGAGAGAGAGAGAGAGAGAGAGAGAGAGAGAGAGAGAGAGAGAGAGAGAGAGAGAGAGAGAGAGAGAGAGAGAGAGAGAGAGAAAGACAAAGACAAAGAGAAGAGAGAAGAGAAAGCGAGAGAGAGAAGAGAGGAGAAGAGAGAGAGAGAAATGAAGAGAAAAGAGAGAGAGAGAAAGAGAGAGAGTAAAAGCGAGAGTCAAGGAGAAAATGAAAGAGAAAAAGAGAGAGAGAGAGAATTGAAGATGAAAGGATGGGAATGGGGCGTGAATAAAGGAGCGAGACGAAGCGATAAATGGAGGAGGGGAGAGAAGAATGAAGAGAGAAGTCAAGGTAGAAATTTTAGCAAATAAGAATATAAAGTGATCAAATGTAATAAAGAAAAAGAAAAGAAAAAAGAAGAGACAAAAATGTAAAGGACGAATACAAAAAATAAAATGAAAACAAACAAATAGATAAACAATTTGATGATCAAAAACCAAATCAAGAATGAAAGCAAACAAACAAGCAAACAAAAAGACAAAAAGAAAGCTGGTGATATATATATTTCTTTCTTTCTCTCTTTTCTTTTCTTTCTTTCATTCTCTCTTTTCTTTTCTTTCTTTCTTTCTTTTCTTTTCTTTCTTTCTTTCTTTTTCTTTATCTATGTCACACATACGCAATGTACCATTTTTCTAGATATTAAAGACACACGCCGAAAGAGACCAACCCACACGCCCCCAGACCCAAAACGACCCCAACCCGCACGCCCACAGACCCAAAATGACCCCAACCGCACGCCCTGAGACCACAAAAAGACCCCAACCGCACGCCCGCAAACCCAAAGAGACCCCAACCGCACGCCCTGAGACCCAAAACGACCCCAACCGCATGCCCGCAAACCCAAAAAGACCCCAACCCGCACGCCCTCAGACCCCAAAAAGACCCGAACCCGCCCACCCGCAGACCCAAAAAGACCCCAACCCACACGCGCCTCTAGACCCCAAAAGACCCTAA